TAATATTCAAGAACATGCTTCTAGAATGGAAAGAAATATACTTAAAGAATTTATTACAAAAAATATAGATACTATTTAAAAAAAACAAAAATAGAAATTCTTAAAAGAAAAAGAACAACTAAATATAATATGAGGAAAAAAATTAAGAATATTAATTATGTATGAATATCAATTTCTATGAAAATATTTATATGAATATTATTAAATATATTTATAAATTAAAATTTTATCGGAAATATATTTCCATATTATTAATTTTAATAAATATAAATAAAATTATTTTTTCTCAAATGAATTATCATCATTCAAAATGATTGATATTACCGAAATTTCCTTTGAACTTCTTTCTGAAATTTTTATCTATAATAAAAATTTGATGAATTTAATGTTAACATGTAAAATTTTTATTAATGTTATTAAAAATAATCAATTCAAAATGAATTGGTTATTTTTTCATTATGGAAAACCTTACGCTCTTTTTTATGCTGTAAAAATGGGTCCTAATTTTATCAATGTTGATCTTACAAGTATGATTGTTAAAAAAAGTAGAATTTCTAGATATTTTATTCAACGACTTCATTCTGCTTTTGGTAAAATTGATAAAAAACTTTTAGAATTAAAATTAAAACATGTTAGTAATTCTAATACTAATAATATTTTCGAAAATAAGATTAAATCACCATGGGCTAGTGATTTACCTATGGGTATATATGTTTATTTATTAAATCAAGCAAAATTATTATATGGTGATCAATTAAATCTTAAAGGAAATGATCTTGAATTATTTCATTTTTTATCTGGTGGTCCTTATGTAATTAATAATGCTGGAAGTATTTTACAAGAAAATATTGATAATATCAAATATTTAATACAAAATATGAAATTCATACCATTTCCATCACGTCCTGATAGTACATGGATGATGGTACCTGAACAATATCCTGCTCTAGATGGATATGAAAATAATAAACAATTAAATATTTTTGCTAGAGCTATATTACTAGAACCAAAAATAGTTAAATTCTGGAATGATATTGGTTATGATTGTAAAAATATTAATAAATTAGTTATGGAAGGATTAGCACTTATTCTTTTTCCACCTAAACCAAATACAACATATGTTAAACCTGATAAAAATATTATGATTAAAAGATATAAAGAATATATTGATTTAGGATTTGAATTTAATGATAAAATAGCTGTTTCTATTTTTCA